ATTTTGGATTTGGATTTATAGCAAATCAGGAAGTCGTCAACATAAAGTGAGCAGTCAATATTGTTTTGAAGGGTTTTTGTCCACCTCTTAAAGAGCCAAACGAAATGGGAAATTTGTAGAAAGTAAAGTGCCTTTTCCAAGGACACAATGTCAGACCACGCTGAGGCTCAAACACCCGAACCCACGATCTCATGATTACAGGTCCGGTAGCCTAGAGCTAACCACTAGGCCATCGACGATACACATATTATTATGGTTGGCAAGCTGTTCAAATTATGTGCTAAATTCAGAAAGTAAATTTTTTCAAGAGTATTTTTCCTAATTTTTTCCTTTTCTTCATTTAGAATTTGAATTTTCATAAAATATTTCTTGAGCACATGAAACCGATACTACAGATAAAGAAAGTGCAATCTAAACAATTGGCCAATAATATAGACAGATATATATATATATACATGTTTATATAAAATTAATCACTACTGCATCGCTTAATAGAACAATTGAATATCAATAGAACAGACCATTGGGAGGAATGTCAGTATAATATTAAAAAAACCCAACAACAACAACAAACAAACAAATAAAATAAGACTAAAATTTTAGTTTTAGTTTAGTAGAGGGCTTTACGGCGCTCGCAACTGCATAAGTGGGTGAATTTGACTGCGACAATGTTTCAAAATTAGGAAGGGAAGTAGTGATTATTTGATTATATTATAGACGCTTCGCCTCTGGTTAAATGCCTTCCCCAAGGACAAAACGTCGGGCCCGCGGCTCGAACCCCCGAACCCACGACCTCACGATTACGAATCCCGTAGCCTAACCACTAGGCCACCGACGCCATTACTACGCCATTTCTTTTGCAGCTGGACTGTTTTATCATAATTATGCTCAATGTCTCAGAGCTAACAAAACTAAATGAAGCCTATATTATATTAACGAGCCTTATGTTGTATGTTGATTTCGTGAGAACGCGTAGCTCTAATTTGACACAACTAGATGCAAACTTATTTTTGCGCTACTATCAAATCTAATCAATCAAAATAATTATCAGAACGTTACGAGCTCATGAATTGCGTTATGCTTTTTGGAGGGCCTTATAAATAATATTATATGTTTGTATTATAATACATGTAGCCTATATGCGTTTCGCCTCTGTTTTTCTCGTTTGCATAGCTTACGTTCATTTATAATATGATAAAATAATATCATCATGTAAGGCCGA